TCATTCACTGCAGAGGATCCACTGGTGAGCAAGTGATGTCATGCTCAATTTCTCCAAATCTGGTCTGATGTATAAACAAACTCATCTACATCTTGAATGGTTTGAGGAGTAAATGTTCATTTTTTTCGTGAACTATTCCTTGAAGGATTATATGACACTGAAGACTGGAGTAAATTTCATGGAGTAAAAAAAATTCAGCTTTGCCATCAGAGGATCGCATCAAAATCTACCAACATGTTTAAAACTGTTTTTGCTTCTACACTGTACTTAATCTGTGCGTATTTGTCTCCTGATTCAGACATGACTTTTTCACTGCATGGAGGAAGCAATATTATGGAGAGAGGATGTGTGTTGTAGCTGAAAGCAACGGTTTGAAGTTAAAAGCGTCTTTATGATGGCTTTGTTTCTGACAAACGCAGCTGACTCCACAAGACTTTGAACTCTAATGCTAAAGTTCTCTAACTAGACCCGAGGGTGAATACATTTTCATTTCTGGGTGAATTATTCCATTAACGTGTAAATATTTGTATGAACAAAGAAACATTTAACAACTATGAGAAATTATAACTGCAGATTTCCCAGTTCTTGCTATGAGATGTGACCCCACGCATCCACCAAGGCACTTGCAAGTTCCCAGACATTTTTGGGAGGAATGGCCCTAACCCTCAACCTCTGGTTCTACAGGCCTCAGTGTAATGTGCACTCCTTCAAAGATAAACATGAGTCCCGATCATCACCCCTGGCGAGACAAGACCACGACTCGTCAGTGACCAGCACTTTTCACCAGTCCAGTCTGGGTCAGCGCAGATGGGTTTGTACGTTGTTACCGGTGATGTCTGGTAAGTTGTTGCCAACCTGTACCCATCACGCAGGTGTAATATTCAGATGTACTGACCTGTGCAGATGTTGTTACACATGGTCAGCCACTGCAAGGACGATCAGCTGTCCTTCCTGTCTCCATGTGGCACATTGCAATTCATTTCCCAAACTGGGCACAATGTGTCCGATTGAAGACCTTAATTTGTGAAAATATGAATTAAGACTTTTTTTAAGGGATGTTTCTTTCACATATGTGACCCTGGAGCACAAAAGCAGTCTTAAGTCGCTGGGGTATATTTGTAGCAATAGCCAAAAAAACATTGTATGGGTCAAAATGATAGATTTTTCTTTTATGCTGAAAATCATTAGTACATACAGTAAAGATCATGTTCCATGAAGATATTTTGTAAATTTCCTACCATAAATATATCAAAACTTAAGTTTTGGTTAGTAATATGCATTGCTAAGAACACATCGTTGCAGATAAAAAATCATGATATTGTTTATAATATCATAATATATTCATGCCTTTAGCAGATTAGAGCTGGGCAATAATATAGTTTACATTTTAGAACAATAGAAGCAATCAGACAGTTGAGATTTGCTATATATTATGTATCGCCCTACGTAAGTATACTGTGTGTATGTGGATAAAATTGGACATACTCAAGTATCCACATTTTTATAAAGAAGCCACTCTGGCATTAAATTTGGCATGAAATGCAAATTCACCCGGTCTGTTTCCTAAATGCATATCATAGATCTAATATCACTGTCGTTCGGCCTGTTTTGGAGGATGCATCAGGTGTCCTTTAATCACACACAATCCTTTTCACACATACCAATTCACGACAAATTAATTAGCTGAAAATGAATCAACACTGACCTTGTTCAGTTTCATAGCTATGCAAGACAAAAACACGATTTTTGAGGTATCATATTTTATCGAGGCATAAATGGTGCATAATGTAAACCACTGGGAGACCACAGACAGATGTCGTTACCTCTACTGCATTAACAGAAAGTCAGTTCGTATAAAATTCTAATCACTTACTAACTAGACCATCTCATTCAAGCGCTTAATGCTGAGAAGGACTGCACCCTCGAAGCCTCACTAGGATGCGTTCTTCCATTTGAGAAGCACCCTTAAAGGTGACATATCATGAAAATCTGACTTTTCCAGGTTTTTAGTGCTATAATCAGGTCCCCGGTGCATCTACCAACCAAGGAAACGTGAAAAATAATTAACCCAGTAACTTTGTTTTGGGAAGCCTTTTTCTGCAAGCGTCTGAAGAAACGCGCGCGTCTGATTTCGCTCCCTTGGTGACGTGGCAAAGGGATCTCATTATAATATTACCGCCCCTTAATCTGTAAGTTTACACCCACGGCACCGTCATTTAATTTCGTTTCATGCTGTGACAGCCACTTTCTGTCCGTGTGCTTCGGATGTGTGCTCTCAGAAAACCGTATATCAGAAGTTTAAACTCATATGTTTTAAAACGCATGATTTCAGCGCGATAAACATGATAATCAGAACCAAAACAGATGTTTTTAGCATGCACAAGCTGTAATGGCGCAGCTCTATTCTGGAAAAGGGGGCGGGGAGCAGCAGCTCATTTGCATTTAAAGAGCCAGGCCCGAAAAACAGCCCGTTTCTGCTTCCACTCAAAATAGGCATTTTCAAAATGATATTATAAATGATCTGTGGAGTATTTTGAGCTGAAACGTCACAGACACATTCTGGGGACACCAGAGACTTGTAAAAAGGGGCATAATATGTCTCCTTTAAACTCGCCCCTTCAAGTTCATGTCCACATTTCAACATCCAATCAACAACTAATGCATAGAACCAAATTTTAAATAGCTACATTTTTTTTGATAATCCATTTGCGTGGATGTATGTCACATTAAGAAAGAAAAGACCTAACAGTGAAACTATCTGAGGTGATGTGGCGACAATGTTGCATCCTATATTATACAGTGTATATTTTGTGATGATATGCTAATCAGGGCCATGGCCACCATAGACTTTGAAAGTAACTTTTCCCCCCAGTATTCAGAGTAGTGGTCAGTTCATATGGGTTTTTCATAATGGCTTATGCTATTTAGAGAAGTCGTGGAAATTAATAATGGCAATTTCTATAATGCATGTACAGGTGGTTGATGAGCGGTGGATAGGCGGAGGAGGTGTTCGGTCTCACCTCATACTGTTGCTATGGAGGCCAAGCAGGAGTCAACACCTGTGTGGAGTTCAGCACCCAACAATGACACTGGAAATACACCTCAGGTACAGCCAAACCTTGCTCTTTAGATTGATTAGTTATATGGAACTATTTAGTTACCTTAATTTCACATTTTTCAACAGAGAATCAATAAAGCATGTATTTATATTTCAATTTTATTGAGTGCACTACCCCTATCTCTTATACAACAAATGTTTTTAAGCTTCTCTATGAAGTATCTTGATTTTAAAAACCATTAAGCAACCATTAATTAATGCTTTTTATTTTATTTTGACTTTTTAAATTCTGAACAAACACAGGGCATCATATACTTGACTACTTTTTTATAAATGGTTACAGAGAACTACAGGCCATTATACATTAAACGACTAAAAGATCGCAAATCGGGGCAAAAATCTGGGCAAAAGCTGTTAAGTCTACTCCAGCTTTAAAACAATTGCGTTACAATTAAGCATGTTCTCCTGCAGTAATACAGTAAAAATCATGCAGTAATTGTCATGAAAATGTCATGATGCAAAAATGGTTCTTAAAAAGATGCTTTATTTTCCTAATGCTATACATATATATATATATATATATATATATATATTTATAATTTGTTTCTATAATTATTATTTTTTTTTGTGAAATCCCATGTTTTCATGAGGGTCACCTGTTTTCAGTATTAAAGCATTATGGGTGTGCAGGTGCATTTTGAGACCAGTGCGGTGGCTCAGATCGTGTACAGCGGCGAGCAGTCTGACCGCACTCAGCAGCAGGTTGTATATACTGCAGACGGAAGCTCCTACACCTCCGTCGAGTCTGCCGAACACACACTGGTATACATACACCCAGCCGATGGAACGCAGGTGAGTTCATCTACACTGCGAAGATGCACGGATTCAATCCTTGGCGCTGCCATCAAACAGGGTTAGAGTTCATAATGATCGTTGAAATGTAGAAGAGTAAATGAGAGACAAAGCAGCTTGTGAAGACATAATTTCGACAGGTTCACTTTTCAGAAATTGTATATATATTAGGGCTCTCGTTTAATCTAATGAATCAATTACAGGTTTCTTAAATGAATCTTGAGTAATAAATATTTGTTATTTTAAAGATTTGTTTAATGGCATTTGTTGGTAGCACTTAATAAGGTCCAATTTGTTTAATGCATTACAATTCAAATTAAGCAATTAGTCTGTTACAGTATTTATTCATCTTTGTTAAGGTGAATCAGTTGGCTGCTCTTGCTTGTGGAGCTGATAGTGTGATCATATTCTGTAGTGCTACCCAAAGATGTGGGGAAAAGACATTGAATGGCAAATAATGATCCCAGAAATGAACATGTCCCAGCCCTAAAATATATACATGACCGTGACAACATTCTTCACAACAGTTTGATTGAACATGTAACTGACCAGTTTCCTACAAAGCTATGCTAGTATCATATCCCACTCATCTCACTTTGTGTTTTCTTTCTTCCTAATTTCAACGCAATATTTAATGATGTATGTATGTACTTTGTAAGTAGCTGGATGACAGTTATCAGACTGCAAAATAAACCCCTTCAAGTGTGGTACAAGATCGATCACTTTGTTGGGTTTATTTTGTGGTAGTTACTGGCTGACTGAACTATATTTATATATGTACTCCTGCTGTAACTCAGGTTTACTGCACTTTTTCGTTCCTGTTCAGGCGGTGTTTACAGATCAGCCCCAAGTGGCCTACATTCAGCAAGATGGAACAACACAACAGGTAGTGTGGCGTTCCATAGCATTATCGTTTGTGTTCTTTTCTTTTCTTTTTTAACCTTATGAACAATAGCATGGGGGTGCAAATGTTATCTTTTAGGGAATGGCCATTGATGTTGACCACTAACATTATTGTTGCCTCAGGTGACTGTGCTGCTTCCAAGCGGGCAGAACATGAACACTGCAAATCTACACGTATTGAGTAACGTAGCCGATGGCCCACAGGCGATCCTGGAACCTGTGGCACAGGTGAAACTGCACTGCTAACATATCCTGCAGGATTTTATGTCTTTGCATTGACTTGGACTGGTCAACTCGAACCTCTTTTTAGTAGTGATAGTGTATTAGGTGATTTTAAGGAGCCAATCAAATTTAAATTTGATCATTTAAATGAAACATCTTTATTTATTTATTTCAAAAGTAGTTTATTTTCATAAGTACTCATTATTTTACTTTACTGTAGTAAAATTACAATAATAATGTCTACATTTCTTCACTTTCATGAGTTGCTCTTTTATTTTGGCAAACAAAAATGCTATTTATGTGAAAACCGGTTTGCAAAAGCGCCTTATTACAAATCTAGTGAAATACTGTAATCATCTTTCCACAAAAATGATGGAAATTATGCAAATGTGAAAATACAGCATAACTGGCACAGCGGCTCACGTCGCGTTCCCAAGTGTACATTAAATTCACACATGCAGACAGTTTGCTTCAAGCTGCTCTGAGACGCTGAAAACACAGACTCATGAGCTGCTCGCATGAACGCAGTGCTGTGCTTCACTTAGTTTGATTGACAGACACTTTTATCTTTATATGTTATTATGAGAACTTTAAAATTATTTCCAGTCCATTATGGCTGCCACAGTCTAGCTAATTAATAGGAAATACTGAACTGTTCACCTGAAAGTCTTCTTAACATTGTTCACAGGTATGAGACCACTAATGCAAATGATGTTTTATATTCTGTAAAGCAAGATTAACCTCCGATTGACTAGACACTGATTATTTTCCTAACAGAGCCAACTTGCAGTGACTAATGCAGCTCTCCCTAACATGCCGGAGGCCTCATCGAGTCCCCTGGGGGCCACAGATTCCACTGTGGATTCAGAGGATGAGGAAGAAGACAACGATAGCGACGATTCTGAAATGGACGACTGGGAACCCAGGACACCCCAGCCGTTCACCCCTCAGAACCTCTGTGAGTAGACAATTAACACTGAACTCTTAAGACTGTGTGGAGAAAGGAAATCATTTTTAATTCTCTTGCAAAATGCAAGGTACATACATGCATACATGAGTCACTTTTGAATGTGATCGTGTGTTATTATTTCTATGTGTAGGGTGTGAAGACTGTAATAATGCTAATCTTGGAGCATGCATGAAACACGGTCCGCTGCACCCCATCCTGAACCGCCCTGTGATGTCCAAGGCTCGGGCCAGTCTTCCTCTCGTCCTGTATATCGACCGCTTCCTGGACGGAGTGTTTACCAAGAGACGTATCCCCAAACGCACACAGTTCGGTCCTATAGAGGGGCCGCTGGTGCGACAGAGTGAACTGCAGGACGCACACATTCACCTGAAAGTATGACAAACCAGTAAACCCTAATCTTTTATTCTAAATAAAAAAAGCATTTAAAAGTCTCACATCCTGCTGCATTGCTCCTGTGTAGTTATACATGCTAGACCCTGAGAAAGAAGGCGAGAGGGCAGAGGACCTCTGGTTTGACCTGTCTAATGAGGAGCGATGTAACTGGATGATGTTTGTCCGTCCGGCCCAGAATCACATGGAGCAGAACCTGGTGGCTTATCAATACGGCTCGGACATTTTTTACACCACCATTAAGAACATTCAGCCCAAACAGGAGCTTAAGGTGGGCTGAAAGGAAAACTTGTCATCTATATCAAACAAAAAATTTGATTAGTAGTATTTTTTTATTTATTTATCTATTTATTTATTGTGCAATGGATTGCTACTAGTGTTAATTAACACTGAAGATACTATTGTAGTTTTTTTTGTATTTTGAATTAGATTTTATTTTTATATTTTCAATTTTAGTTTTTGTCATTTTTATTATTATTATTTTTAAGTGTATATAGTTTTTGTTCAGTTTAATACTTCAACTTCAACTAAATGAAAATGTGTAATGTTTGCTTTGCAACTAGCTGAAATAAAATATATATATATATTTTTTGAATATTTTAAGTAATGAAATTCACATTAGTCTTCTATTCCAGGTGTGGTATGCTGCATCATATGCCGAGTTTGTCAACCAGAAGGTTCATGATGTCACAGATGAAGAGAGAAAAGGTAAATTGTTATTGTCAGGGCCGATCCTCCCTATACGCAAAATGTGCAAGCTGCGTAGGGCCCCGAAACGCTCACAAAGACGATTTAATTTTAGTTTAGTTTTTTCATTTGGCCAGCGGTTATGAAAACATGAATGATCATTTCTTTTCATGCGGTGCGCTGTCGCCCTTTCTACGTAAAAATCAGTCAAATCATGTAATGTGAATGTTGTACAGTCTTGCTCGAGACTAAAAAAACGAGTTGAAAGCGTACCGAGCCGCAGAAGAGACACTGTTTCTCAAGCACTTTCCGCGAGCACGAATCGAGACGGAGTGAAACATGAACAAATGCGTTTCATTCATTCGTTCATAACCACTCATACCCCACTCCACCTTTGGAATTGAAAAATGTTTTTTTTTGAATTAATTCTAAAAAAATGCCAAAATATTTAATGCATTATTTAATTATTATACCATTAATAATTAACTTAATTTGTAGTTAACTAGTTAAGTATTTAAATAATTAACCCTACTAGGCTATTGGTGTCTGGGCTTATTAATTTATTTCTAAATTACATGAGACTTTGTGACTTCCTGCACTTGCTATACTTCATAGTCATTTTATAATAAATCCAAAAGCAAGACGTGAGAAAAACTAGGGAGTTGAAATGGCAACTGAGCTATTGGGGGATCCTCTGCTGCCATCTACTGGATATAATGGTAATTTCATGTCATTTTCATCTTAAGTCTTTGTTTTCCACCAGGAGAAACAAGTGAATTTTGGCGGAGTTAGGGACCTTTTTTTACCCATGATGAGTTTGCATCCCTGAAATTATATTCTTTGTTGAATTTTCCTGTCAAAATAGTGGAGTTCATTTGGAATTATTCAGCCTTTAAGAACAAGCAGAAGCCACTTCCAGTTTCTTTTCTAGTAGGCAGAACTAATGCGCAAACAGCAATTTCAAAAATCATTGGCTGGCTCTCACCTGTTAGCGTCACTGATGACCAATCACCAATGGCGATTGACTAAGGATGTAACTGTTAATTTCTCACAGCTCAATTCGTATTGCAATTTTGGGGTTCCAGTAAAGTAAAATATATGGTGTGGTCTATATTGTGTCCTAAAAAGGCTTATAATATAAATCAAATATAAATCAAAATAAAATAGAAACTGTTCGAAAGCAGCATGACAGGTAAAATCACTTGCTTGTTAAGACAGACTTTTTACAAAATGCACATTCATTTTAAATATGTACATTAATTTCGGTTAATAATATTTACGTAATATCGCGTCCATTGGGAATGAATGTAATGGAGCCTGAATGCATAAAGCTTCCGATGACATCAGTGAGGCTGATTACACACAGGTCGAAGCGATCAAAAAACGTCCATAATATATTTATTTATTCATATAACAACAATAGCAGTCATTAATTTAAAAAAGAATCACACTAAATGCTTATAAACTCCTCCTTTAACTATTTAACTTCTGATTTAACTTGTTTTTTATTTTAAGATTTTAAAAATATGTTTCTGTTGTGGTTCCTGGGTCAGTTTTACGCGAGCAGGAGAAGAACTGGCCGTGTTATGAGTGTAACAGACGGTTCATGAGCTCAGAGCAGCTTCAGCAGCACTTAAACATGCACGATGACAAGCTGAACCTCATCCAAAGGTTTGAATGCACATCAATGACTTGATTTCTCCGATGTTCATGATAGTATTCCTGACAGTGAGTCCATTTTAAGTGTCTGATAAAGATTGTTTTCTTCTAGGCCAAAGGGCCGTGGCCGAGGACGGGGCAGGAAGCGATTCGGCGCCGCAAGGCGACCAGGACGACGTATGAAATTCATCTGCCCACAGACTCCTGTTGAGAGTGCTGACAAGACACAGGTACAGTCTTTTAAAGCATTAGTTCACCCAAAAATTAAACTCACCGTCACGTCACGTCATTTCAAACCCATAATATTTCCGTCCATCTTCGAAACACAAATGAATTTCTGTCCCTCTACTAAAAGTCCATTCACCTAAAACCCCAAAACTCTGATGCTTCAAAAAGTTCATAAAGACATCATAAAAGTGAGCCATATGAATGGAACAGTTCAAAAAGTTTTCTAAAGGAGGCAAAATTGCATTATAAGATGAACAGGTTTAATTTAGGCTTTTATTCACATTTAAACATTGATTAACAACACACCTGGAGATCATCAAATATGGTAACAGCAGCTCAAACTTGTTTGCTTGATGCAGATTGGATTATATTTACCATCTCTTTATGAACGTTTTAAAGTTTTTGATTAGATTTTGTGCTAAACTTGTGTCTCTGCACCTGCTATAGGAGCTGTTAGCATCTGTAGATAAACTACCGTTTGAGGAGAGGACAGACGGAGCTCTCAACGGGCTGAAGGTGGTGGAGATGGCAGCCGAATCGATGGAGACTGAGACAGAAGAAGGGCTTGATACCCCAGCAACCTACACCGAGGAGCTGCAAGAGGAGGGGGATTCTGTCACCCCATCTCCAGCCACAGAAGTCCCGGGGTCTGCCAAAGAGGACCTGTCTCAGACAAGTCCCGAAGACCCTCACCTCACACCGCAGGACATGAGGAGGGCGAGGAGGATTAGGGTAAGATACGCCCGTCATGAGTGACCCACAACCTCAGATCTCTGCATTGTAGTGTGTTAAGTAGGTTAGAGTTGTTTAACAGTAGAGTGTATGTGGGTGTGTCTTTCTCTTTTGTTGCGTGCTGCACGTTAAGGTGGACTTGCAGGTAGGTCTAATGTGGGCCAGAGTGGAGTCAGAGGAAACTTCCTCCTTCAGTCAATACAGTGTTGACAGTCTATGACTCCCTACATCCCCATTACATCTGTCTGTATCAGTTCAGTCCTCAAGCTTCATCAGCCAGCAGAGTTAAAGGACAGCTGCTCCAAAAATGAACATTCATATCATTTAAGAGTAGCCATGTCACCCTGTTTGACCAAAAGGAGATGTTTAGCATGTCATGGGTGATCTTTGCTTTTATAATGAAAGTGAATGGGAAAGGACACTAGGGCTGGGTTGACGGTATTCATTTTGATGAATCGATATCAATTCTTAAATCCCAAGAATCAATCGTTTAGTCAATACTGCTTTCTGTTGATGCATGAACAAAACGTCGCTTAATATTATTTTTAGTGTGCCTTCCATGCAATAATCAAAAAAATGTTGGGCTTTGTTACTTTTAATATGAAACGAAGTCTAAGCTTTTAAATTGTCACTTTTATCATGAAATTCAAACAATAAATACCATTTTGGCACTGAGTGCACATGAACCAGTCATTTCTTCCTCTTAAATTTAAATGCTTATTTTTCAACAAAAAATTAGAGTAGAAGCATAATAACAGAAAAACAGGCTTATGTGTTTGGTAAGTTTTTGAGTATTGATTATTATATCTGAAACTTAATAGAAAGTGCATTTAATAGTTTGGACTGGTTATTTTAACCATTAATATTGGACTGGTTATTTTAACCTGTGATATTAATAGTAATGTACCAACTGATAAGTACATGTACCTGATATATATCCAAATGAATCAAAATCAGAATCTAATCAAATCAAGATCTTGTGAATTGAAATAAAACTGAATTGTGAAATCTGAATTGTGCTCCAAAAATAGTTGCTCCAAGTTACTGTAAAAATGATTCACACTACTGATACTACAGTTTGGCCAAAATAAAAGCCATATGGTTATGGCTATAAAATAAAAGCATGGAAATTATGACAGCCATGAATTTTAATACTAGCATTGTAAGTCATTCTGTTAAACATCTCCTTTTGTGTTCAATGGGGGAAAGTCTTTTGGGTTTGGAACAACATGAGGGAGTAAATGATGACAGAATGTGTTTTTTTTGTTGTTGTCTGAACTATAACTTAAAGTTACTACTGAAAGATTAAATCATTTCAGCATGCAAACACAACGACTTGTTTCAGCCATCATCTCTGTGACATACAGACCCACGCAAGTGCATTGTGTCATTGCTCACAAATCATATGAATTCAGTGTAAACTAAGTGATTCCTCATCACCCTGCTTGGATTGTTCACCTAGTCGTCTTCTCATTTCAAAAGTGTCCATTCCATGCTTTCTCTCTTCCCTTACCCAGAATGCCGCTCTCCAGCATCTTTTCATCCGTAAGTCCTTTCGACCCTTTAAATGTTCTCAGTGCGGGAAAGCCTTTCGAGATAAGGACAAGCTGGACCAGCACATGCGGTACCACGGGCGGGACGGCTGCCGTCACATGTGCCATCAGTGTGGTAAGGGCTTCCTGACGAACCTGACGCTCGAGGATCACCTGCAGTTGCACTGTGATCAGCGCATCTACTCCTGCCTCTTCTGTGCCGAGTCCTATGACAGATTGGACCTGCTCAAAGTACATGTGGAGGTTCACCTGGTCAACGGCTGCTTTTCCTGTCCTTCCTGCAAGAAAACCTTCACAGACTTCATACAGGTGTGATGTGCTAACAAACAGAATGACACATAATCACAAAGCTGTTTCTAAACCACCTCACTATGACTTTTTTTCTTTTCTTTTAAACTCTTCCTTTCCATTCCAAAACTCTGTAATTTTTAAAGAAACAGTTCACCCAAAACTGAAAATATGCAGAAAACTGACTCGCTCCAAGATGAGTTTGTTTCTTCATTGGAACAGATTTGGAGAAATGTAGCATTCCATCACTTGCTCACCAATGGATGCTCTGCAGTGAATGGGTGCCGTCAGAATGAGTCCAAACAGCTGATAAAAACATCACAATAATTCACAGTCCACTCCAGTCCACCAATTAACGTCATGTGAAGAGGAAAGAGTCCATAATCCATAATAATGCTTCCTCCAGCAAAAAAGTCCATTCCCTGTTTGTAGAGCTGTCTTAGACTCTTTTCGCTTGTAAACAGTGATTGATCTGTGCATATTTCTCTCCTGATTCAGACGAAATGTCAAACATCGTTATGATAAATTTATAACAAACGCGCAGCTTTTCACTTCATAAGACATTAATTGATGGACTGGAGTCATGTGGATTATTGTGATGTTTTTAGCAGCTGTTTGGACTCTCATTCTGACGGCACCCATTCACTGGATCCATTGGCTGAGCAAGTGATGTAATGCTAAATACATAAAAACTAAATGTGACTGATTATAGTGGAAGAAACCTTTGATAACAAGTGAATTTTCAAGGGGAAAAAAAGTGATCTGACCTTTTTAATATCTGATTACATGGCAGTATTCTTGTGTTTAATGATGTTTGATTAATCAATCATGTGTCTGTGTTGTGCAGGTAAAGAAACACGTGAGGAGTTTCCACTCAGAGAAACTCTTCCAGTGTATGGAGTGTGATAAAGCCTTCTGCAGGCCTGATAAACTACGACTCCACATGCTTCGCCACACTGACCGCAAGGACTTCCTGTGCTCCACCTGTGGAAAACAGTTTAAGGTGATTCACATATGCCAAGATGCATAAATGTATTTGCATATATGCAAATAAATGCAATGCATTGATGTTTATACATTTTTAAGGTTTTGAAGCCAATTACATTTGTTGCATTTGAAGCTTAGACATGAAGCCTACCTTAGAGTGTGTGTGTGTGTGTGTGTGTTTATTAACTTCTCATTCATTTTGTTGTGTGTTGTTTCTCCTTTGTTGGCTAGAGGAAGGATAAATTACGGGAACACATGCAGAGGATGCACAACCCTGAACGCGAGGCCAAAAAGGACCACATCCACCGCACCAAAGCTCTGAAACAGAAGGAGCCCACCACTGACTTTGAGAGCTTCATGTTTAAATGCCGACTCTGTATGATGGGCTTCAGGAGACGAGGGATGCTGGTATTGAAGTTTCTTTGTCTTCAGTTTATTTATTACATTTTTTGCTGTTTCTTAGCCTTTCCGAAATGAGTGTTTTTGAAATCATAGGCCACTTGTGACCTCTTTGTTTGTTTTCTTACTGTTCTGTCTACAGGTGAATCACCTGTCTAAACGACATCCTGAGATGCGTTTGGAGGAGGTTCCTGAGCTGACGCTGCCCATCATTAAACCCAACCGAGATTATTTCTGCCAGTACTGTGATAAGGTCTGGACTCCTTCAGTTCTACTGGGGTCGTTTAT